AATAAAAGGGAGGCAGAAGAAATGTTTAAATTAAATATGAAGACTTCCAGAATTTGATGACCAAGGGTCATCTACATGTCCCAAAAGCTCAAAGACTAGGTTGGGTAAAGACAAGGAGATCTACATCCAGACACATTACTGTGTAATAAAAATGTTGAAAGCCAAACATAAAGAGAAAATATTGAAAGCAGCAAAAGGAAAGCACTCATCATATACAAGGGCACCACAGTGACTTTAGCAGCTGGCATCTCTTCAGGAACAATGGAGGCCATAGGCAGTAGGATGATACTAAAATAGTACACAAAAAATAACTGTTCGTCAGGAAGCCTGTATCCAGCAATACTATCATTCAAACATGAAGGTGAAGTAAAGACATCCCAAAGTAAACAAAAGCAGACTTCATTACTAGCACACTTACCTTATAAGACCTACTAAAAAAACTTTAGGCTGAAAGTGACAGCAGACATTAATTTGAGTTTATGTGGAAAAAATTTAAGACATTATAGTAGAAGTAATTACGTAGGTGATGATGAAAGCGTAATCACACATTTCCTTTTCATTATGCAAATGCATATAATGATATCCATAAAATCACGTTGTTGTACCTATAACATATAGAATTGTCATATATTTGACAAAAAAATCCAAACGAACGAAGCTGTACTGGAAAAAGGAAGTGACACCAGATGGTAACTTGAATCCACAGGAAGAAATGAAGAGTAAGAGATGGTAAATAACTTAGCTTAATTTAAAAATAAAGTACTGCATAAACGTAATTGAGCTCTCTTTCTTCTCTTAGCTTCTTAAAAAGACATTTTTCTAAAGATGTCGTTATAACAATGTATTGTTTGGGTTTTAATATATATATAATATGAGCAATAAATAAAAGGAAGTAGATAAGAGGATAATATAAGAATAAAACTTCTATATTTGAGCTAGAGGTATAGGTTAGTGGTAGAGCAAGTTCAATCACTGGTGCTAAAAAAAGTTCTTATATTTCACTGAAATTAATATAAAGATGAAATAGTAAATTAAGATGTATATTGTAACCTGTAGTGCTATAACTAAGAAAGTAGCTCTAAAAATTTTGTTAAATATCATTCAGAAATTAAAATAGGATTCTACAAAAAATTCACTTAAGCCAAAAAGAGGTAGTAAGGGATAAAAATAAAAATGAAAGAGGGGAACTACTTAAACACTATTAGATTAATATCCCCTGGTATAGTCACTCAATATTCAATAATCTGATGGATTTATATATTGAATAACTTTCCCTTATTAGACTCATTTCCCCATAAAATTAAGATTCTGGTCATGATAGTCCTTATGTTTTTGAATTTTTTAAGAAAATTAATATGGGGACAGAGTTTATTTCAGGTATTTCCTGTATTAAATTTTCTGCTTCAGTGTATTCTCCTAAAATATTTGGTTAATAATAGAACTCATAGAGATGCACAGCTAGGGGTGCACGATGAGATACACACTTTATCTCAACCGTTCATTTCCATATTCAACCTGATATTTATTCTTTGATACCACCAATATTGATGTAAAAAGATGCATTAATTTATGTGTATGCTCTGCCACACACATATTCAGAAGAATAAAAACAGCCAGTAAATTTGGAATGCGTAAAACAACCATTCCATGTCTGAATATCCTAATATCTTTTGAAGAGAAATCTGCTTATATGTAGTTGTATACAGAAGATACATAGTATGATTAATGGTGCTCATAATTACACAGATACACACAGCATTGTGCATATTTATTTAGGACAATATGCTATGAGGCAATAAATGTGTCATCTATGTTTATATACATTTGTATGTACATAATATATAACTTATATAAGTTTAGATAATGACATATGTATACGTGTACAAACACATACACACACACACACACACACACACACACACACACACTGAAGAATACTCTTTAATGTGAAGCATTATAAATGTGCTCTACTGCTTAAAAACTTGTGATCTGAATGAGCATGGTGGTACATACCTGTAATCCCAACACACCAAGAGGCTGAGGCAGGAGGATTGCAAGTTGAAGCCCAGACTTCGTAACATAGAAGTTTAGTGAGCCCCTATCTCAAAAAGGGGGAAGGCTAGATATGTAGTTCAGTGTAAAGGCCCTGGGTTCAGTCCCTAGCACCACAGAAAAAGAGAGAAAAGAAAAAGAAAAAAGAAACCTGGATGTGTTCCTAGCATAGTCCTCTGACAATTTGGCAGATGGTTGAACACATAGTCTCAAGAATTAGAGTGGATTCAGCTGGCAATTCTGCCATTTAGTAGATGTGTTACCTGGTAGTTAAAATGTAACAATATTGTCCTTCCTCATGGTCTTCTTGAGGTTTAAGTGACTTCTTAATTCATGTAAAGTTCTAGAAAGTACCAGGAAAACAGTAAGTGCTCAGTACATTTTTAGCTACCACTCTGATCTTTTGATTCTGCTCTTCCAGGGGATAAAATCATTCCTTTCACATCTGGAGCACATGTTAAATTTAGATGGTATTTCTCATCTAAGAACAGATCTTTGTAATATTGCAATGGCAGGGAGAAACACCGAAACGACACCAAGGGTTTGGAGGCAGATTTATTTACATCAACAGACACTGATGGGGATAATTCCCAGAATATCAGGCCCTGAACTCTGGTGGTCTAGGGCTTATATGAGAGAAGCAAGCAGGAGGTACAGAGGCAGAATGCCTTGTCAGTTGGGGATGGGTTTACATAATGTGTATCACAGTGACCAGCTGTTTCTAAGAGACAGGAGCAACAGGAACTGGAACAGGAACTATTACCTGGGCAACTAACAAGCTGAAGTATTCTGGCTGGGGGGCCATTTTCTGTCACAATATGCCTTTAATTGTGATGGAGACAGCAGTTGTTGCACTTTTACCTGATCTTACAGTTTGAAAACTCTAATATACAGCATGGTATGGTTTTGCCTGAAGAGTGATTGCTTTCCAAAAATCTGAATTGGGTGAAATTATATTTCATAGACCTTTTGTAAGCTATGTAAATAGCGTAAGGGTGCAGTCAGCCTGCTGCTTGTCTCTACCTGTCCTGATTCCTTCTGTACATCAAAGCAGGGACCTTCCTCTCCTTTCTCTTTTCTTCACTGTTACATCCTTAACATCTACAAGTGTTCCTGATACACAGCAAGAAACAAATGTTCCACAAAATCTTCTGAAAAGTCTCAACTATTCACCCTCCCAGAAGCTACCAAAGTCCATTGATTTATCCCAGTGTCACACTATCTTTATGCAATTGCAGTTAAAGGCAAGTCCTCCTTTGGCATCTATGGGGGATTTGCCCCAGGACACCCTGGATAGCAAAATCCATGAATACTCAAATCTCTTACATAAATGATGTAGGGTTTGGATATAACCTACACATATGTTTCTGTACACCTTAGATATTCGCTAGATTGCTTATAATACTAAATACACTGTGAACACTATGTAAATAGTTGTTCTACTGTATTATTTAGGAAATAATGACAGAAAACAATCTGTATATGTTGAGTGCAGATCAGGTTTTAAAAAATATTTTAAATCCATGGTTGGTTGAATCCACAGAGATAGATCCTGTGAATACAGAAGGTCAATTGTACTTCCCAAAGCAAATGTCTTATGTTCCTATTAAATTAGTAGTTATCTGAAAATCTCTCTTCTTTCCTCTTTTATATTACAGAGATTCATCTAATTTATGTGTTAAATCTGATGCTATCACTTCTTTCTTTTCATATTCCACCCATCCTCCAGAAATGCGCACTCTTCCCTATGTGCTTTATGCAGCTGTATCCCACAGCCCCTCTCCTCTGAATGCCACTGGCTTTATGCCTCACCCATATTTGTAGTCATTTTTGCATTCTAATAGTTATGCGTACATGCTGTATCTCCTTATAGAATAGGAGCCATGTCTGTTTTACCTGTCTATTCTCTATAGCACAAGTAGTAACTATTTGTCAGCAGCAAATATTTAATAAGGACCCTACTCAGTGCCAAATGCTCACCCCAGTGACAGGCTGGCTTCCTAGATAATTTTCTTCATGTGTTCTCTGAAGATATTTGCCAAACGGATGATTAAACAAGCATACATGTTGAGTATCATGGTGCTGCAAAACAGCTTTTGGATCTGGTATATATATAATGGGTCAAAATCTGGGCTGTGTGACTTTGGGATGATAATTTCCTCCTCTAAGAACCATGGTTTCCTTGATTGAAAATTGCAATAGTTGATTCACATGATAGCACTGAGATGACCACCAGGGGGTGAGGGTTGGGGTCTCCTAAACAAAGTGCTTGGAATGTATGAAATGTATGAGATGCAAGGATTTTCTTCTTTCTTTGTAGAAGCTCCATTTTAATAAAAAGAAAATGAGTTTCCTAAAAATGCCACTAGCATTAAAAATGCCACTGTTGGTCTAATTCTGGCTTGAAGGATCTATGAATGATCTCAACACCTTTCACGGTGCCTGGGCACAAGGGATACCATGGACACCAACTTGATGCTGCAGCCTCTTTCTCCCAATTCTCTGGGAAAGATATTTGTTGATTCTAGTAGTTATATACTGTTGCTCTCCTACTTTTCATGAAAATACTTTGGAGTGCAGTGATGTTTTTTGTACATTTGTTTTATTTACAGTATACAGAATTGCAGTTACTATTTGGGGGGGCATTGTCCCTTTTGCAAAATACCTTCCCACCCATTATTTAATTTGGTATCCTTGACAGGTCTGTGAGCAACCTAGGACAGGCATGACCTTGGAAAGTGAGGAAGTAGAGCCTTCCGTTTTAAATTGTCCAAGGTCACATTTGGACCTTGAGTGGGACAATTAAAAATTAAATTAAAAAGCAGAGCATCAGGGTGTCAATTAAGCTCAAGTCACCTGGTATTTTTTCTCCTCAACCTCGATGCAAAGGGCTATTGGAAACTTCAGCATTCTCTGTCCTAACTGTTTCATCCATTCTTCTTTGGCAGAGGCATCCATCCTGAGCTATGACGGCAGCATGTACATGAAGATCATCATGCCCATGGTCATGCACACCGAGGCAGAGGACGTGTCCTTCCGTTTCATGTCCCAGCGAGCTTACGGGCTCCTGGTGGCTACTACCTCCAGGGACTCTGCGGACACACTGCGTCTGGAGCTGGACGGGGGACGAGTCAAGCTCATGGTTAACTTAGGTATCGTGTGCAGGACCCTACGCCATTCTGTTTGGGCTTGTCTTCCCTTTCTTTTCTGATTTTCATTGGTTTGATTGAACTGTTATTTGAAAGTTAGCTGCTCACCTATTGTTTCATAGACCAAGGATGAAACCCAACAGCAACAAAAATCTTCTCTTTGTTTCTGCATGAGGTTTTGATGTCAATTTCTGGTTTCTGACAGTGGTGGTTTCTTTACTAGATTATTTGTTTTCTAAGTTTCCTTTCTTCGTTTTTTTGGAATCGTTTAGCTTTGTGTAAAACACGCTACTTTGGCCCATCTTTTGATCAATCATATTCCCATTACTCCAACTCCTTGGTCGCCACTCAAAACAGTTCACTGGTGAGGGCAACAAGGCAGGAGGTGAGGCAGAATGGGAGGGCAGGGCGGTGAGAGTAGGCAGAATGGTGAGAACCAATCCGCATGAGCAGGATGAGAAGGGCATAGTGTCTGGCTCTCCCGTGATGATTCAGACAGGGATTCTGGTGGCCCTGAGGACACGGGGGCCTCTTTATGCATTCTCCTATCGGGTTGTTTCTGTTATTTCACTAGACAAAGCATTCTCTGCTTCTAGAGTCCTTGTATGGAAGGAAAATATGCCTCCTGACAAGTGTCCCATTTTCCTTCCTGACATGTTCAAGAGCCTCTCCCAGCCCTTTCTGTGACAGTTGTGGCCTCATGCTTAGCAGTCATTGTACTCCTCATAGAATATATATGCTTATATTTAGACTTGAAAATCATAACAACTTCAAATTTGTCAGTTTATTGGGGCAGGATCTGCTCTTTCACTGCAGTTACCCAAAATGAATACTTTGGAGATTCTCCTCATATGGCCTAGCACCCTCTCCTGCCCCTGACTCTGTTTATTGGGATTCCAGCTGATTTTCTTTGGAGAATGGGGACCTATTGGTTTTTTGGAAGAAACAAGTGATTGTTATTTCTGCTTTTTCCACTCAGCAGAAAGTGCCCAGTGCTGACAGGATTAGTGACACAGCTGAGTCCAAACGCTCTGAGCTAATGGATTTATTTGGATAGGTAGAATATATTTGGCTACAGAGTCCTTTCATAACAGTTCTAATGGAACAGCTTGTTAGAGGTCCAGAGGTGACATGATAGACAAATGTACCAGATATGAGATCATAAAAAGCCCTAGCTGGTGGAAAGGCAGGATTTTGAATCCATACCAGTCTTATCTGCTTGCAGGTCAACTGGTCACACTTTCAAAATGCCTACACTGTAGTTCTAAAATCTGTAGGACACAGAGGACTGTTTTGAGCAGTGACTCATTTAGTTACGTCTTTTATTTTCCTTCCAGTTTGCAGCTTTTACAACATTGTGCCCTTTCTCTTGCCCAATTTCATTTGGTTTTTGTTGTTAAAGTAACTGTTCGTTTTCTTTTGTTTGTGTATGTGTGTGTTCGGTTATTTTCTTTTGGTGTATTTTTTCTTTGTGTGTTCTTGAGTTTACAATCCTCCCTACATCCACCATGGTAAATCAAAAGATGGTATTCAACCCTTCAAAGGCCCAAAGCCTGCGGCCCGCATAGCAAACAGCCTTGAGAACAGAGAGTACTGAGCAGCCGACAGGGCTGGCATCCCCTGTCCCTCTATCTCTTCCTCCCTATACCTTCCCCCACTCAAGTCAACTAGCATTAAGTGTACATTATCCAAGCTGGCACCCGGTAGCCAAATGCCTACTTCTCTGACAAGCAGCAGAAAGAATGAATAAAAGAGAACAGCAGAGCCAAAAACATAAAACAAAACCAAAACTCAGACACAACCCCCCACCTAACTCACAGAAGAAGGAAGATGAATATAATCTCTAGTGCTGAACCTGATAAAAGTAAGAGAGAGACATACATATGAGGCTGAGTCAGCGTCATGGGGTTCTGGAAGGACCCACGCTGTGTGTATAAACAGATAATTTGCTTTTCCACATGATACGTTGTTGTTTAAAGATCAGAAAGTCAGCTGTGATTGTTCTCACATCTTAGAAGAAAAAGCTAAGGGCAGAGGGGAGGATAAAAGGAGACAATCAGTAAAGGCAGAGATAGCATGATCTCCTCTTTTCTTCTCTCTCTCCCCTTTCTCCTCTCTCCTCTCTCCCTGTCTCATTCCTTCCCTTCCCCCTCCCTATTCTTTCCCTCTCATAAACGCTGACACACAGACACCCGAGTTAGTCACAGATCCCATGTGTATTCCTAGAAGCATACTTTTTCTATTTTAAACTGTAGCTAAATTCTGGGATATATTCTTTTCCTAGGCACATATTTTTTGCCTTTTCACACACCATCAGTCAGACTCCCCTCATACTGAAATATCTTTCACAAAAGAGTTAGCCCCTCCTTAGAGAGGATTGTGCTCCTTCAAAAGCAATAGTTGTTTCTTTTTCCTCTAAAGGGCATTGTTCATCCCAATGACTGGTTTGAGTTTATTTAACTTTCTTTCAAACCTGACATGGAGAACTAGACTGAAAATCCTGTGCTTGTATATGAAGAACTCTTCATATTCATGCCTTATTCAAATGTTCTCCCACCCGGTCCTAAATGGACCCTTCCAGAAATACTGTCTTTCTCTTTGCCAAAACTTTACATTTCCTTTTGTCTTCATTATAGAAGAAAACATCTCTAAGGAGAGTTTACATCCAAAAGCATTCCCTCAAAACTTCAAATGATCACTTTGGCTTTTTACTGCATTTAAGTTGCATCTTTTTTATAGCACGCCAACAAATGATAGCTCAATTTATTTGACTTTGCTCAGACCTATAAACTCATGATAGTAAAGCCTAGTATCTGTCTCTCTGATGTAACCTATCTGTTAAATGTCAAGGCTAGTACTGCAGCAGGTGTGAGAAACATCTGACACCACACAGCATGTTTGTAAAAGTTGTCAATTCAGCTATTGATCCACCATATTTTGCTCCCTGAGTACTAAAAGATAGAACAATATTTTATTATTACAGTACATTTAAAGATCTAAAAGACTTCATGTTATTTTAATCTCACAACAATTTTGTATGATGAATGAAAGTGTTCCTATACTTCCTTTCAGATGTGAAACAAAGAAAAAAATATATAGCCTTGAAGACTTATATTAGAAGTAGCAAAGCCAAGACTACAATGCATGTCTCTAAACTGCTAAATCTTCATGGATTATCTGTTACTTCTACAGATAAATATTGTAGATCAGTGATGTGCAGGTCTTAATGACTTCAAAGTGCTTTCATGATAGTGATTTTTGAAACATGCATAGAGGGAATCTCTTTTTCCTTCATGCTTAGTTTGAATTGAGCCACACTACAGAAAGGTCAGTTAATGCGGGCTGAAGCCTGCAGGATTCTCAGCAGAGTACTGGGGTCACATTTTCCCTCCCTCTGAGGCAGAGTTATGTGGTTTGATTAACTGCATTTGAATTCTGCAGATCTTATCTCTCTAGACTTGTTGACTATGTTTTGCATTATTGAAAGTGTACGCCTTTTAGAAACATTAATCTCTTCTGTGTTCAGCCCCAAACTTACTAATATGGAAAATAGTCATTTCTCCTCATTTATTGAAATAAAACAAAAATCTAAATAAAACTAGACAGCGCACACACACACACACACACACACACACACACACACACACACAGATACCTTAAGTGGCATGGCAAAACTCAGACAGATTTTTTCAAGCAGAGAGAAAACTCTGGCTTCTCTGCAGACGGATCTTAAGAAAATGACTTTCCCTAGTCAATTCCCCTGGCTAATTTTTTTCTTTAGAATATATACCTCAGTAGTAAAGCACCCCTTAGAGTTTTTGAAGAAGAGGCTGGGGTAGAATTTTGACTTATTTTCAGGTGAAGTAACAAAGTACTTCTTCATGTCTTGACTTAAACATATTGCTGCCATTTTGAAAGTCCTAAGCATTCACCTTGTTTCAAAGGGACCATTCACAACACATGAAACCACTGACTGTCCCAGAAGGATCGAGCCCAACCCAGCACCTTTCCCTAGACCAGATTCTTGTCTAATACTAATAAAATCCTCCACTGCACAGAGACCAAAGAAAAAATCCACTCCTTGTTGGCAGTCCTTGGGTTTGTGTCTTTAGGTTCACTCTTTCTCTTTTCCTTTGTCCTGAGCATGCACAGATATGTTTCCCCTCCTTCATAAAACAGGAAAGGACGTTTCCCTAGTTTTGAGTAACAGTAGGTGCAACCAATACCTGAACACCCTCCTCCTCTCTGCCTGCCCTCTCTGTCTCTGTCCTCCCAGGGGCATGGCCTCCTCTGTCTGGTGATCGTACCAGTTGCTCCAGGGCTGTTTGCTCCCACTTTTCTGTTGCGGTTGACGACACATGACAAACCTAACCGCACGAAACTGAACCCAGATTTTTCTCAAGAGATGTTTCTTCTGGGGAACTAACAAGCTACCTGCCTCCTTCCTCAGAATGATTGGGTGCTACAAATTGCTCCTATCTGAATTTCACATAGTTTCATTCTGCCTTGTTGGTTGCCAGTGGTTTTATTTTTCAATTGCTCACTTAAAATAATCTACTTTGGGAAATACAGATGGTGGCATTATCCTCCACTCGTCCTCTGAAAACTATTGGGCCAACCTTAACCAGAAGGACAGTACAGTTTGTAACTGAATTTTTCCTTCTACTATTCCTCCTTTCCTCTGTCATTTGACATCTATTTTCTATTGAGATTCCTACCATCATAAATCAACCTTATGTCCAAATGAACAGGTTGGTTACAATTCACTGAGACACTCCTCGAAGCATTTCTGCCCAGTCCCCTAGTAACTCCCACTGACTGTGTTCTGGGATCTTTGTGGTGTGTGCCTATGGCTCTCAAGAAGAGGTTAATAAAACCATAGACACTCTAACCTCTGGCACAGAACACCTTGTCTAGTTATCAACACTGGGCAATTAGACTTTTTTTCCTTTTATCCCATTGAAACAAATAAAACTAGAACAAAAGAATTTTCTCCCCTTGAGATGCAGAATCACGAAGTAAAACAGGCAGGATGTCAAAGGTGTCCACAACCTCCCCCACACACGCCTGCCCTGCCTTCTCCCTGAATGCTGTGGGCACCTGATTCTGTCTGGCATTCAGGCAGGAAGACAGAGATAGGCTTGTGAATGGGTAGGTCTGGAAGCCTTTGAAATAACAGCAGTCAGAAAAGCCAGTCACCTGTGATGGCATTTTACAACTCCTTTGCCCTACACCCAATGACCCCACCTCTCTAAAATCTGGGATGGGTGTTTGTGCGGTTAGCTGTTTGCAAGTGGCCATTTTATGACAGGAAATGACCGGGTGGTATTAACCCTTTTCTTATCTCCATGGGTGATGGCAAATTTGCAAATTTTAATAGCATTTGGGGCCCAACCTAAGGAGAGGGTGGGGGGAGTTTGTCAGAAAAAGAGAAAGGGTTCAATACTACCCTGAGAAACTTTAACAACAGATTTTTAAAAATTGATATAAGGTATCAGACTGGTGATATATCTTTGAAGCACTAACTGTGTTAATACTACTTCTAAAGATAAATTTTAAGAAAATAAATGTAGAGGGAAATATAATCTGCATTTGGTGGGGGAATTTTTTCCTAATTTTCTAAGTTTAACAAAATTAATATTTTAATATCCAGGTTTGAAATACTTCATAAAAATGAATAGACTTTTTGGGGAAAAAAAAAACATGCTTGGTGTCTATTGTGGATATATATGTATACCAGTATATATCTCTATACATATGTGTATATATATATGTGTGTGTGTGTATATATATATGTATTCAATTTTACTAAATAATATACTGTACATATACACCCACCCTTAAACTTGTACATGCTGTATATATATATATATAAAATGGCCACATTTCTTGCGTGTGTCTGTCCCCGGAAGGGTGGACTGATTGTTTTTGGATGTCTGCAGCTGTTACCTTGAAGGATGCAATTTCATCTTTCATTTATTTTTCCCCATCTAGACTGTATCAGGATAAACTGTAACTCCAGTAAGTTTTCCCTCAAGTTTCATTTTGTTCTTAAAAAAAGAAAAGAAAAACTGACTTTATTTTGTTTACTGTTTTATGAGCTGTTTTTTGGTTTGAATTATTTTATTTTTTAGACAGTGGATTTGGGGGGTAGGTGCTGGGGTTGGCAAGATGGAGGGCTGGGGTGATGGTCCAGGGCTGAGCATGGCTTGGGTTGTGTTTCCAGAATCGGGGCAGGTCCTCTCTTCTTTCCTTGCATTTCTTCTTTATGCAGAAAAGGAGGAGAGGGCGTGTGAATAATGAAATAATGGGAAAGTGAATGAAATAGTAATGTGTTGTCTTTGGGAAGTAACCCTGGAGTGAACAGAAAGCTTTAGAGCAACCAACATGCACTTCTTCACTACCAAAAATGGCAGAGGATAAAAAGCAAAGCTCATGACCCAGAGGTGGCTGCCAACTCTGACATTTCTTTCCTGGCATTTATCACTGTAGGGGGCTCTTAGGAGAGTGGATAAAGCATTGTTCTTGGTGATGATGCAACATTTTAACCAAAGACTTGAGACACACTCTGTCTCTCCATTCAGATTTCCTAGTTCTTGAAGAAGGGTCTTCATACAGTACAGTCTGAAAACTGCTCATGTATTTCTTCCTCTGCTTTAGAAATGAGGACCAACTGGAGCCAGTGAGAAAGGGAAAGAAAAAGATAAATAGAAAAGATAGTAATGATGGAAACAATAAATCTAGATGATGAAAAGAGAAAATAATATGCTGTGAGTCCTTTAGCATATTAGACTAATTAATACTAACTTCTATAACAAACTGTCCTAAAATTTCAGTGGGTCAAACAAAAGAAAGACATTTTTTCTTATCCAGGCGAGGTCTAATGCCAACCAATCAGATTTACCAGATAGCTCCTTTCAAAGAAGTAATTCAGAGGTTTAGTTCTCTTTTGTGAGGTTGGTCCATTGCCTTGGAGATTTTTACAGCTATAACCTCCAGGAAAATAGCTTGATAGACCTGCAGAATGATTCATCTCTTTACCTGAAAGTGACATACATCACTTCCGCTCATATTTATTTGCCAAACATGAAACCATCCTAAATGCAAAGGAAGCTGGGAAATGTAGTCTTCCACTGTACAGAGGAAAAGACAATTGGATTAGGTGAGTGTCAGGCACATACCATCATATCTTGGTTCTTTCCTTGCTAGAGTCTTTCTGTAGGAACAAAAACAGAAACAAAAGGAAATAATCAAACTTATACACTGTATTTACTTGTTAGTTCCATCTTATTAAATCTTGTACAGATGCTAGTTCAGCCTTCTTTCTTGGTGGTAGATATCATGTCTAATAAAGCACAATCCTACTCTTTGTGGGCAAATGTTCCATATAAAACTTTTTAAAAGAAAATCTATATAAACAACTATTTCCTGAAGTTCTTTATGCATGTCTTGGTATTACTTTCAGCTATTTTAAGCAGTGTCCTATTCTGCTGTTTAAATATTTTTCATTAGCCAGAATTTTCTCATGAGATTTAGATCATTAAAAGCTTAATTGAGGGCTGGTAATTTAGCTCAGCAGCAAAGCGCCTGCCTGGCAAGCACAAGGTCGTGAGTTCAGTTCCCGGTACCGGAGAAAAACAAAAACAAAAACAAAAAAAAAAAAAAAGAAAGCTTAATTGAAGCATCCCTACTCTTCAAAGTGTGGAGTTTTCTGGAGTTTCCCTAGCATTATTAGCACATGTTCTTGAAGTAAATTTTATTTGTTGATTTATAGTAAGAGCTTAAGTTGAAACCAAAAGGGTAGGTTATACAGAAAACTCAAATAAGTGTATATCCTTAAGAAAAAATAAGAACTCAAAGACATTTCTTTTTATTGACTGTGTTCTCTATGAAATCCCTAGCATTATTAGCACATGGATGGAATAATTTGTGAAGATTACACAATTAAAGTAGGAGACAAGATATGTACAGTAATTAAAACTTCTGTCACGTTCTTCTTATTGACTTTCCTTCAGAATCCTTGGCTTGACTAGTCACCGAAACTCAAGATGCTTCTGTGAAAGCAATGCAGGTCCTTGCTTTTACTCATCGTCAACTAAGTGAACAGGCAATAAGATTGTTGTGCAGTTTGTATTTGAGAGGGAAGAGGCTTTTTCCTCACCCTTGTCCTCTGCTGTTATTTTGACAGGAGTCAGAGGTTATCGTCCTTAATATTGAAACAACTTCATTTGTTCTTCTTGAAGGGTCATAACAACAATAAACCTGGGTCAAATTTGAATTAAGTTTTTGAACTTTAGTAACTTGTTTTAGGAGGCCTCTCTTCTGAAAAGTTACACATGTAAAATATGAATGACACCAGCTATTGTTTGTTGTTGCCGTTGTTCATCTGCCAGGAAGTAGTGTTGTGGGAAACAGCTGTTTCCAAGGACTCATGGGGCACTTGTTAGTGAAGAGAAGAGCAGGAGAAACAGGGCTGCTCTCCCTGGGCGAGGAGAAGACAACTGGCTGAGAAGGAGGGCAGTCTTGGGACAAAAGCAGTCTTCTGACTAGTGTCCTCCTCAGGCTGTGCAGGGCGGCCCTCCCATCAGTGATTGGTCTGTTCCAGGCTAAGGGTTTCCTACCGAGAAGCAGCAATAATTTCTTATCATCCTCTCTGCTTGGCTCCCTTTCTTCACTTTTCTCAATACTGTGTCTTTCCCCATAATACCACTCCTGCATTCCAAATCCTCCGAGAGTACCACACCACGCACCCTCCCTACCTCCTACCACCAACCATGTTAGAGTGTGCAAAAGAAGTTCTTTGGTTGAACTGAGTTTACTTGGTTCATCTGGAAAAACATGTTTAAAGATCTTAACAAAGAAGCTTCAATAGAGAGCTTATTTTTAAAATGCAAATGAGCAACAGAGCTGGCAGTCACCGTGGTGGATTGAACTCCAGGTTGACCTGGAATTCTGCTAATGAAACCAGAGGTGCTTTCTGGAGAATTTCTGGAAGAAATCACCTTTTCCTATGGTCCCGGTTATATGAAGATGACAGTAGCGTTTGAGGTATGCAGTTCTAAAAACAGGTATGATATGCTTGATGGTTTTGGGTGCTTGCTGAAATGAAAGTATGGAAATTTTGTGGTCTGTTTTCCTTGTTTGATTGTGACTTTGCCCTATGACTTCATTCTGATTCAAGCCATGTACAGTATGAATGAATGTAATTAACTCACTAATTTAATACCTATAGTACAATTAAATAGAGTGACCATATATTATCAAATATTAATTTCTCTGCTTTTCAAACTTTTCTTCCTCTCAGAGACTAGCTTCTCTGTGTTGTGGCCATTTTCTTATTCTTCCTAAAAAGAAAGATTACTATATATGGCAAAGGAACTGTGAGTTAGTGGATAGGCTTCATTATTCAGGTATACTGAGAAAGCCTTTCACTAATTACTTTCATCCTGAGGTCTTACTAATTTACCTGTAACAAGGCTCATTTTTCTCTTTTTAAAATATAGATGAAAAAAGAAATAAAGTAACATATATACATATATATTTATATACATATATACATATATACCTCAAGACCAGCTCCAGTGATCTGTATGCCTGACATGTACTCTGACAGCTTCATATCATCACAGATGTGCACAGTATCAAGGACGTCTCAAAGTAGAATCACAAGGATTTGCTCTCCCCAGATCATCTCTCCGATGGCCACTGGCATTTACTTGACTCTTCCTCCTCTTAGGCCACCTTGCTTGGTTCCTTGCTTCCATTTTTCCTTTTAGCTTCTCTGTCTTTAGTTTCTAAGAAGATCCCATTTCCAGTGTTTTGGCAAAATCCACAGTCTGTGATTGGTAGCTCTTACTCCATTTAGGTGTAGCTTGGTCAGCTACAAATTGGTTATGCTAGAATTTGGTTTTTTCCTCTTTCTTCTCTCTCTGATCTGTCTCTAGTGTCAGAATATATGATTTCATCTGAGGACCTGGTTGCCTGAGTCCCCCACACAGGATTCATTTGGCTCATCCCACTAACCTAGGAACTCTTGCTTCATACCAACTAAGAAGCCTGTTTTTTTTTTTTTTTTTTTAACTGAGAAATCTTTCTAGAAGGAAATTATAGAACTCTCTTTGGTATCTATCCCAAGAGTTCAATAACCACAGCTATTAGTCAGTCATCTTATTAGAATTTAGTGGAGATAGAAAATCACAAACAGGGTCTCACGTACAATAATACATCACACATCTAACTTTGAACATCATTCCTGAAATTTTCTATCTTTATACTGAATGATTATACTTCAGATTTTCCCCAAACTCATTTGTAAAAGGTAATGCATAATTTTATTTCTTCTTAATAAATATTAATTCAGATAATTTTTTGCTGTACTGGGGATCAAGCATAGGTGATTTTGTTTTTAAGTAGCTAAAATGATGTATATGGAACAAAAGGCCAAATAGTAAAAATTCTTCCAGCGCTTGATCCTAGTCTTCAAATTTCCTTTCTCAAAGGCAACAAAAATGATTAGTTTTTCTTGTATATTCTTTCAGAAATAGTCCCTAAGTGTATAATTTATAATGATAACCATGCTCTCATCTTTCTTTTGAAATAAATACTAACGCACTCTTCCACATCCTATTTTTTCACTTAAGCTATCTTATGTTAAAGTTCATGTAATAATATAAAGTGATTCTTTTTAATGATCACATAATATCCCATTTTATGGAGAGATATTTTATTAAATCAATACACTACTAATGTACATTTAGATTTTTCACCTTTTTATTACTATAAAATGTAAGAATGTACATAGCACATACTACATATATGATGATGGTGATAAATGTTATGAAGAAACTATTAAGAGTTGGTAATGTTTGAGAATAGAAAGCCACATATTCTTTTTTTTTTTTTTTTTTTGGTTTTTTCTCCGGTACCGGGAACCGAACTCACGACCTTGCGCTTGCCAGGCAGGCGCTTTTGCCACTGAGCTAAATCCCCAGCCCGAAAGCCACATATTCTTAAAACCACAC